GCCAGGGTGTTTTTTTTTTTTTTTTTTTTTTGCTATAGGGCACGTGCGTTCGCCAGACAGAGAGAGAGAGACAGAGAGACAGACAGCGAGAAATCATCCCCCGGGGGGATGGCCACGCTGCAATCCCTTCTCCTCCATTCTCCTCTCAGGATCTTGGGCACGCGCCCGGCGTGAGTTTAAGCCACCGGGTCCGGCACCCGAACCACGGTTGACCACATGGGAGTCCAGTGACATAGCCATTATGCTAACTGCTGGTCCTGGGATCCTCTTCTCTAAACCCTCATCTTTATAGCTAGGTAAGGGGGAAACTGACACTTATTAGGCGATGATGTGTGCCCTGTATTGTGCCAGAAAATTCTCACATAAGATCTCTTCTGGGCCTCATAAAAAGCATAGTTATGTGGTGTTATTACTGTTTGTTAGTAAGAAACTCAGAGAGGTACAGGCTTGGTTGAGGTCTCACAGCCAGGAATTAGTAGCAGCACGTTTCGGACCTCAGTTTGGCTTCCCTTTTCTAGTTGTTATATGTTCATTCACCAAAGGCGGATCAGGCTGGAACCTGCTTAAATCCAAGAGGTTGCTATCTTGGATGTGGAATCCCTGTACCGGTTTCAGGGATCTTGAAAACCCACATCAGGATAGGAAGCTAGGTGCTTGCCTCTCATGATCCAGCACACAATTGTCTCCAGCCTCTGGAAACTAAACTTCATCCACCCCATGATGGTAGCCTTTTCCCATTTCCCTAGCTGTGTGCTTGCTTGAGACTGCATTAACATCTTGTGGGTATATGTGAAGGGGTATACGCATGGGTGCATACTTGGGGGCTCGCCTCTCACCGTGGTCTTTATATGACCTCTGAAGAAAGGACACCTGCAACAAAAGCTTATTAACTTGCCATCTTCCTAGGGGATGGCTGGATTCCTATTTTCCAGATAAGGATTACGGAGATCTTCTTGGAAGATGAAATGAACTCTCTGGAGGCTGCTGAGAGGCCTTTGTGTTCACGATCCTTGATGAAGGGGAACATTTTGTTTCAAACTTCAGAACCTAGTGGGCAAGTCCGGGCTGCTTATCTCTGTGGAAGCTAGTTATACCTAGTACATGATAAAATTTCTGTTATACTTAGTACATGGAAAGTGCTCAGTAAGGAATAACTTAATGAAAAATAGAGTGCTCACAATAAAGATAAAAATACAAAAACAAAAATAAAAAAAAAACAACAAATTAAGAAACCAAAGCAACTAAACAGAAAAACACAGTGCTTAGTTTTAATTGAAAGTCACAAACACTGATTCTGGCTAAATGAATCAAAGAAATAGATGGATACTGTTCAGCTTATTGGAAAAACAGTGGGGAAGATATGTAGAACCAGCCTAGAGCCAAGGGGTGGGTAATGAGAGCAACTCTGGGAGTTTCATGCACATCTCTCTTGGGGGTTGTCATTGGTTGACTCAGCTTCGTTCACTTCAGACTACTCTGATAATTCAGATTATTCGGAGAGTTTGAGTCAAGGTTGATAACCTCCCCAGAATCACATGGGGAAGGGAAGGAGTTCTGTAAGAGGAGGTACTCTGGATATACTCACATGTACACACGCCAAGTACCTACTCTAACAGGTGTATAGGCAATCCTGAACCTCAAGGAGTTTATAGTTAGTGGGAAGAAATAGGTAAGTCAAGGTATAAATAACAGTAGGTGTTGATGGTTGCTGTGAAAGATTTGTATAAAGTGCTGTGAGAACTTAGGTTTTAAATCTTTCATGGTGGAGGCCTGTGTCAGGTAAGGATCGAGCAGAATTTTAAAGACTGAGTGAGACTGCTACTTGGACAAATGCCTTTCAGGAAGAAACCCTTTTGTGATCTTAAGTGATATGAAAGAATGGTGTGTCCAGGAAATGCAAAGCGTTCTGAGTGCCTAGTCCACAGAGTACATCTTAGAGCGTGGGGTGGGGCTGGATCTTAAAGGGCCATGTGCTCTTAGGCTTTGGACTTTGAACCTGGGAAATGAACTGTCATTGAGTGACTTTAGGTAGCAGAAAGACACGATCAGTTCTGAGGTTTAGATCGGTGACCATGAAGGCTGTAGCAGTGCCCTCAAATTCAACTCCCTTGAACGTGGCTATTAAAATAAGGATGCCGATTGTTCTAGAATAGTCACAGAGAAGATGCTAGAGGATCTATCCAGTCAAGAGACTTCCCACATGGTTCGAGAGCCCCAAATATTCATAGGAATTCTCAGTAACTCCTCCTCCTTTCTACTTTAGATTCAGGGGAATGGTAGCAGGTGGCACCCGTTGCCTGTGGAGCTCTCAGTGAGCATGTTTCTTGGACTTAGAAGGCAGTGAAGGTTGTGAAGTAGGCTTAGGGGGTTTCCCCAGGGCCCCATCTTCACCCGCAGTTACCAGTTCTCTCTCTGTGCTTAGAAACGAGCAGGGTGCAGTATAGCAGTATCTGGGGGGGAAGGGGTGCACTCAGGAAAAAGGTAGCAACAGCCCCGGCCTCTGATGCTGGGTGGGATGGGATCACTTCCTTTAGATAGCCAGTTTGTGATTTTGCAGAGGAAGTTGAATGAGATTGAGAAAGCTTGGGTCCCCAGAGGTTGCTGGGGGCTGAAGGCAGAGCTTCCTTTTCCGTATAAACATGAGCTCTCTGACAGGTAGCTACACAATTCTGTTTCCTTTGTAATAGGTGGTTTCTGAAAACAGGAAAATCTTTACTCCTACTGTGAAGATTTGAGGGAATTGTTTCTAGGAATATGGGGTGCAGATCTAAAGATGGGTTAGAATTTGCCTTTCCTGTGTTTTAGCTATTCGGTTTTGGCCAAGTTACTTAACCTCCCTAAGTTTTAGGTTTCCTAACTTGAGTGAGTTATAGTAATATCCTCACCACCACCGACAGCAGCAAAACCTAGCATTTATTGAATACTTACATTATGCCAGGCACTGCAAGAAAGTATTTTGTATTAATTAACTTCTTTGTTCCTTAAATGACTCTATAAAGTAGGCAGTGCTATTATCACCCTTAGAAACAGATTAGAAAACCTGGGTACAGCAAGATTAGTAACTTCCTCTTCCCAGTCTTCCTTCTTGCTCATCCCCTGCAAAAAATTGGTAAATGGTAGAGCGAGAATTTAATTGCAGACAGTATAACACCAAAATTTGATATATCATAGAGCCGTTATTAATTTTAAAGGAATTATGCAGAAAATGCTTAATATAGCTGCTTAGTACTTAGTGAGCATTTGATAAAATTAGCTATTCATTGTGTTTTTATTCTTACTCTGCTCCGTTTTTGTTTCTTACAGAAGCAGCTGACGCAGGATGATGATGTGGACGAGGTCGAGATCGCTATTGACAACACAGCTTTCATGGATGAGTTCTTTTCTGAGGCAGGCAACCTTCCTGTATTTTTTTCTGAGTGTGCATAAGGAAATACAGCTTCCTTAGTAAGAATAAAACATCCCACATTTTCAAGAAGAGCAGAGGCAGGTTACAGTCTTTCAGTGGGGTGGGATGGCCAGACAATGAAATTACAAGGAGATTCTCTTTTCCATACTTAACTTGGGGGGATCTGGATTTTTAATCTTAAGGAAGTCAAAAGAAGGGAAATTATATGTGATTGAAGAGCTGCGTTTAAAGTCTTAGGCTACGTGACAACATTTTAATGATATTCTTTCTTGCCAAAATACCTAATTTAAATTTAGACTCAGTCATGGGGTTACAGCCATGAATGTGAAAAGAAAAAAAAAAATCTTGGCCTAGCTCCACAGGTAGCAGGGGAGCTGCTGCATGATGCTGGAATCAGCTGGAAGGCTCAGGGTTCAGTCCTGGACCTTCCTGAACAAGTCTGTGAGTGTGCCCGTGTTTCTGGCTGGCTGCAGGGCTGGGGGAGGATCATGGTATGAAGACCTTGTCTAGGGTGCCTCTCCCTGTCTATCTGCCTCTCTGTCTTTCTTGAAGAAAATAAAATTAAAAATATCCTATAAGCCAAAAACTTAGACCTGTGACTCATATCAAATTTGTTGTTTCTGAAAATGTTTATAGTCCTTTGTATGGGATAATTGATAATTGAAAAGCCAAGAAACCACCAGTTTATTTTCGTACAACTCACTGGGGGTAGGCTCATGTCTATAGATTCATACACTTTTAGATCTTGAAGGTCCTTGGTATGATGGTGCTGTGGTAGAGCAATGGTGGAAAGTTAATTGAGGCAGTAGTGTGGACAGAAACATAGGCTTTGGGATCAGGGAAATCTGGGTTCATGTCTCAGCCCTGCTTCTGACCAGTTGGTGAATTTGTGAATGTTCCTTAACATGGCCAAACTTTGGTTTTATCATCAGTTATTTGGGGTTGATAATATAATTTCCCATTGGGTTATTATAAGAATTAAGTGGGTTGGGGCCCAGCAGGTAGCGTGGTGGTTAAGGCGCTGGACACTCCCACATGGCCAACCATGGTTCAAGTCCTGGACCTGGTGGCTTGCTTTCTCTCTCTCTCTTTCTCTGTCTCTCTCTGGTCAAATGAAAAGAAATGAATTAATTAATAAAATTAAATAAATAATTAAAAATAAATAAATATTAAAAAATATTTAAAAATATTTAAGTGCGCTTTCAAAGAAGACCTTTTTTAAAAAAAAATGATGAATTTTTTGAAAAACGTTCAATTATGTCAGTTCTTGACAAGTTGAATATGTAAGCATGTGTGTGCTTAAGTGGTAGTGGTACTGAAATATGAGGAAACATTGCATTGTCTTGTAATTTCATTAAAAGTGGAAGGCTTAATGAACTACCATTAATTCAAATTTTTAAAAAATCTAAAATAGTAGAAGCAGATTATAGCTCTAGGTACCAACCAGAAAGATTTTATGGCTTAATGGTCTAGAAAGCAAATTGCCGACGAAAATCAAATTGTATTAAAAGGAAGTACATTCTAATGTGATGTGTTTTATTGAAAACGATGAATAACATACAGCCTTGGTTCAGCGATCGCACAGTGCATACATGCTTTGAAAGACCATATTGTACCCCACCTGATGTACAATAATTAGATGTAAACAAGATATTATAAAAAATAATTTAATTATATTTATTCAAATTTATTTACCCAATAAAAATCAGAATCTCACATATTAAATAAAAAAGAAAGTAAAGTTAAAAAATAAAGCATACTTATGAGACAAACATAATATGTATTTACATGTAAAAATATAAATACACTGTGCTTATGTGTGTATAATAGCCATTTCTGGTTTGGTACATGAAGGTATATAAGAGAAGCATACATTATTTCTACACAATTTAAAGTGATTTGTATGAAAAGTCATTTCCGAGCAATTATATATAATTTAAAATATATAAAATCACAAAATTATGTGACTATTGAGTGAAATTAGTTTCAAATTAATTTTCTTTGTAACTTTAGAGTTATTTTTTTCTTTCTTCAGTGAATTATATTTAAAATTAATTTAATTTTCCTATTTTTTTTCTACCTTTTAGGCGGGATCTCTCAGTGTGGACAGTCCATGACACTGACTCTAAACTGATATTTCTGTGTAGACTGAACCAGAGAAACCATGCCTGTCTTCATATTTTGCTGGTTCCCTGACAATGGTGCCTCCACTCCCACAGATTGTCCCGTCCAATGCTAAAAAGGCTTATGAATTAAGCATCTATTAAAAGAACTTGACTGAATTGCTTTGAAAAATTATTTTTGTAAATTTGATTCAAGTCCTTCTATATTGTATACGTTTGTGTTGAAAGAAAATTATAGACTTACCATTTTGTACTTTCTCAAAAGCCATCTCCAAATACCTATGAAATTCATTTCAGCATCTGCCTTTTACATGCCATGTGGTTCCTGACATAAAGTAAAATATTAATGCCTTATATTTTATACTATGAATAATTGACGCTGTTATCCTATGCACCCTAAGTGATGTAAGCCTTCTTCAGAACAGGCCCTGTCTATTTTGCTCTTTGCATTTGGGAAGTTTTCAAAGGAAAGGAAACGAAAGAGAACATATGACAAAAGCGAAGCGACGTGTTTACTTGAATATTCATGTCCTGTTGCAGGTGTGTGTGAACGGCTGCTGAGGTGCACGAAACTTCAGCAGAATTTGTGAGCCCTGTCTAAACCTCTCCACAATGTAATCCCAGGCCTTCTTTCTAGAGCCTCATGTCCTTGGTTGCAAAACTTCAGACAGAATGTACATACTTTCCAGAATGCAGAGCCTGGCTGAACCTCTTCTTCCTCTCAGATCAAACATGTAATCTGTCAAGAGTGCCTGTTGTGCTGAGTCCCATACACCTCCTGTTGTGCTCATAATAGCGTGAAGAACAGGGGACGTGGCTCTGAGGGCCAGGCTGGGGAGAGAGGGCACAGATCGTATGTTTAACTATCAAAATTTTTTTTTTTGTGGAGCTTTTAGACACATCATTAATATTTTTTAAAAATTAAGTAAGGGCTGACTCCATGGCCTGGTGGTTAAGGCAGAGTTTTAACTCCTGTTCTTGGAGGCTTGACAAATACACTGGGTGCATATATGTGCCCCAAATCCTGACAGGATGGAGAAAGTGGGGGAACAAATCTCACAACGTGACCATACCCCTGAGGGGTGCTCTCTCTCTCTCACCCCCGTCGTCCTCCGTCTCTCAGGTGATGCCGTATACCCTTTGGCCATGTCACATAAAAAGATAGCTCTGTCGCATGCTTGCTGCATAGTCATTTACTCCACCCCAGCTCATCTCTCTACCCGCATACGCACGCGCATACTCACAGATGCCAACACCTGCTGGTGCACTTATACATGCCGCAGTGCCGCAAGTAGTGCCCCCCACAGACACACACTCTCCCCTTCACCCACCCTCTGCACCTATGCATATACCCACAGCTTACATTCCCACAAGCTTAAATACACACACACACACACACACACACACACACACACACACGAGCCAACCATGACTCCCATGATACCCCAAATTTACTCTTTGGGGTTACAGCCATGAATGTGAAAAGAAAAAAAAAAATCTTGGCCTAGCTCCACAGGTAGCAGGGGAGCTGCTGCATGATGCTGGAATCAGCTGGAAGGCTCAGGGTTCAGTCCTGGACCTTCCTGAACAAGTCTGTGAGTGTGCCCGTGTTTCTGGCTGGCTGCAGGGCTGGGGGAGGATCATGGTATGAAGACCTTGTCTAGGGTGCCTCTCCCTGTCTATCTGCCTCTCTGTCTTTCTTGAAGAAAATAAAATTAAAAATATCCTATAAGCCAAAAACTTAGACCTGTGACTCATATCAAATTTGTTGTTTCTGAAAATGTTTATAGTCCTTTGTATGGGATAATTGATAATTGAAAAGCCAAGAAACCACCAGTTTATTTTCGTACAACTCACTGGGGGTAGGCTCATGTCTATAGATTCATACACTTTTAGATCTTGAAGGTCCTTGGTATGATGGTGCTGTGGTAGAGCAATGGTGGAAAGTTAATTGAGGCAGTAGTGTGGACAGAAACATAGGCTTTGGGATCAGGGAAATCTGGGTTCATGTCTCAGCCCTGCTTCTGACCAGTTGGTGAATTTGTGAATGTTCCTTAACATGGCCAAACTTTGGTTTTATCATCAGTTATTTGGGGTTGATAATATAATTTCCCATTGGGTTATTATAAGAATTAAGTGGGTTGGGGCCCAGCAGGTAGCGTGGTGGTTAAGGCGCTGGACACTCCCACATGGCCCACCATGGTTCAAGTCCTGGACCTGGTGGCTTGCTTTCTCTCTCTCTCTTTCTCTGTCTCTCTCTGGTCAAATGAAAAGAAATGAATTAATTAATAAAATTAAATAAATAATTAAAAATAAATAAATATTTAAAAAAAGAATTAAGTGGGTTAATGTTTGTAAAACATTCAGTATAGTATCTAGTGTATACGAGGACATTTCAGAAAAATTGTGGAATAATAGAATTAAAGTATGAGTTTATTTAGGTGTAGCAAGTTTTGAAATCCATGTATATAGTTTTTTCATTATATACATTTTCCAAGAACCTTTTGAAGACCCCTTATATGGGCTCAATGAATGATAGCTACTTCATTACAAATAACAATAAAACTTGCTGGTTTCTGCCACTCTACTATAGTTTCTTTATTTCTATTTTTTTTTTCAATTTCCCTGGAATAAAAACAAGAGGCATTATATGTGGGCACTTTTGTCCTCTACGTTGCGGATGTGGAAGAGTAACTCTCCAATTTTTCTTTAAGTGGAGTCCAAGGCTTGATGGTTATGCGTGTTGATCTGTTTGAGTAATGAAAGGGTTTAGAGCAAACTTGAGCATGTGCAGACCTGATTGGAAAGTTGGCTGTAAGCACTTCCAGAACCCCACCCTCTTTGTGGATAGGTCTGGC